CACACACTGTACACTCATATTTTCGAGCCGTAGAATACCCCGTCCAATAAATACTATATATAATCTCTTTATTTACTTGTCACATACGCGTACAGGATCGTTGGCGGATATGAGACCATCTTGTTCGGTCCGACAACCTTTTTGTACACGTATGTGAGAGGGGGCTTATATATAAATATTTATTGGATCTGTCCAGTGTGGACGGGTTAGATATGTAAACATGGCGTGTATATGTATTTACTTGTGTTCTTGTGTACTTTCTTTTCGTCAGAGTTTCGGTGGCGCTTACTCGTTGTTCTCCGTGTACAAATTGCGGAGGGATATGCAGGAGTATATCCTTCCCACTATAGTGTACTCGGGGAATAGCGGGTAGGTGCTGCCAAAATTTTGACGAATTAAAAGTACACTTGAACACACGTAAATACATATACACGTCACGTTTACATACCTAATGGGATAGAAGCCTTCCTCTGACAGCCGGTCACACATGCGGTCCTCTGAACACACATTTACATCCCTAAATTAAAATGATATATATAGAGATATGCTCACTTCCATTAATTTTTAAATTCTAGATGCGGACAGTTCCTGACAAATCGTTCATGAGCATACCACATGATCGAAGGCATCTAGACACCCGATACAAGGATAGGATAGAAGCTTTCTTAGCCTACTCTGACACAAACCCTCTACGGTCGCTAAGCGGGTCGATTTTTTGTCCTTGTAAGAATTGCAGGAACGGTAAAATGCTCGCTAGGAGTGACATAAGTTTTCATCTGTCAATCAATGGATTTGATAGCTCTTATGTATTTTGGAGTCATCACGGTGAAGGCGTCCCGGTGACGCAATCAGAGGAAGAATTCACTAAAGTCAGCAACCCGACAGTTAACACGACTGATATGTTAGAAGATATTCTTACAACGTCGTTGATGAGTGATTTCAACACTAATGATATGTTTCAAGATGTAGATCGATTGATGATACTTGTTGAAGAAAACGAGTCACCGTTATACGAGGGGTGTAAGGAGTTCACAAGGCTTTCTTTTATGCTGAGGCTTATTCATATCCGAACACTCAGTGGGATGGCTGTTACATATTTTGAGATGTTATTAGATTTGTTGAGGAAAGTCATTCCAGGCGGCGAGAAAAGCATCCCCGCGACCTATTACGAAGCTCACAAGATTGTTGATACGCTGGGGCTTGATTACAAGAAGATAGACGCATGTCCTAACGACTGCATCTTGTACAATAAGGGTAATGAAGCTCTGGAGGAATGTCCGACGTGTCATGTATCACGTTGGAAAGGAGAAGTTGCAAGCACATCCGAAGGCGGTGCATCCAATAAGCAGAACAGAATCCCTGCGAAGGTTCTTCGATATTTTCCAATTATTCCTAGGCTACAGCGGTTTTATATGTCTGCCGAGCTGGCTGAGAATATGCGATGGTACTCGACCGACCGCAAAGAGGACGGGAAACTAAGACATCCTGCGGATGGTGAGGCATGGAAGCACATCGACCGTATATACCCTAACTTTGGTAAAGAGTCTCGGAATATTAGACTGGGGCTTGCTAGCGACGAATTTAATCTATTTGGATTAATGAGCTCTGCTTGGTCTACCTGGCCAGTGTTGCTAACACCGTACAACCTGCAACCGTCGATGTGCATGAAGAAACCGTACATGGTACTGTCACTTTTGATCCCTGGAAGATATTCTCCTGGAAATGACATCGATGTTTTCCTCCAACCATTAATTGACGACCTGAAGCTTCTCTGGGAAAAAGGTGTCAGCACTTATGATGCTTATGGTAAGGAGTCTTTCTGTATGCGGGCAATGGTCATGTGGACAATTAATGACTTCCCGGCATACGCTAACCTGTCTGGATGGTCGACGAAGGGTCAGATTGCTTGTCCGATTTGCATGTCAGACTATGAGGGAAAGTTCCTGAAGTACAGCCGTAAGTTTTGTTATTGGCAACACAGAAGATGGTTGCCTACAGGGCACAAGTTCAGAAAGTTAGTAGGAAAGTTCGACGGCAATCCAGAAAGTAGACCGGCACCACCAAGGCTGACCGGAGAAGAAATATTTGAGCTTCTACATCCTTTACCTAGAAAAATATTTAGAAAAAAAAGATTCAACAAAGAAAATCTATTTGGGGTTAGGAGAAAAATATTGAAGAAAAAATGCAAGGGAAAGGGAAAGGGTAAGTTATTTCTCAAGGGAAAATCGAAAGGAAATAAGCCTCGCAATGTCCAGTCGCATGAGTGTGTCTCAAAGGGCACCGAACTTCTGCATGGATGGTCAAAATTCAGCATATTTTATCAGCTGCCATATTAGAGAAGCTTAAAAATACGTCACAACTTGGATGTCATGCACATCGAGAAGAACATATGCGAGAATCTCTTGAACACTTTGTTGCAAGACGGGAAAATGTAAGCATCGAAAATTGCCTATAGTTCTTCGTGAGCAGCTCAAAGCTAAGAGGAGATGAGGAACGTCACTATCCAAGTCACAGAATCTTGATTGACATTGATGAACGCTTGAAGTGAATCGAAAAACTACGTGAAGTAACAGAATTTTAGAATAACGAAGACATGAACTGATCGGGAGTCCCGCATCGCTTACAAAAGACGAAATGATGCTCTTATCCCAGCTTAATCCACAATAATCTCATCATCAGATCTTATAAATCTCCTCGTCGGCTTTCCAACGCACTTTGAATCACTCAAATCCGAGTTCGGACGAAGAAATTACGGTAAAAACAGATAAGTACGCGAAAAGAGCATCTCAGCCTGGGTTGAGACACCCCGAGGTGTCTCGGCACGAGCGAGACACCCCAAGGTGTCTCGGCTTGAGCCAAGACATCCAAGGGTGTCTGGGCCTAGCTGAGACACCCAGGGGTGTCTCCAGCCCCAGAAATCCGCCGTTTTGTGATTTTAACCGTCCGAACTTCCTTGGTGCCTATAAATACAGCCCCAGGATCCTTATTTTTTGAGATCTGGAATTTTAGAGAATAGGCGAAGCCCTGTCGGACTAAAGATTGATCGAGTTCTTCAGCACAGGAGAGAAAGTTTTTTCAGATCTACATCGCCCGTGTCCGTTCCTTAGGATTATCCCGTCGCGGTAATCTTAAGAAGAGTAATCATCTCGCCGTTGTCGAGATAAGTGCTTCTGTTTCTAGATTCATTCGCGGATCGACGAAGTATTGGATCTGATCTGATTGTCAGGTAGTCCATGGATATCGACGTCTCCATCACCGGCTAAAGACCCACGTAAGCAAGAAACGACGAACGGATCTTGCGTTATTTTCAAGAAAGTTGTAATCTTTTATTTTCTTTTGTTAAAATTTGAATTCTTTGTAAACGATTAATATTATAATGAATTCAACAATGAAGGCAACTTTTAGCAAAAACAAACTGGCGACCACAGTGGGAGCCAACAGCCTCGTTTCCGAGGCTGTCGTGCCGCAGCCGACGATCAAGATCCCCGTGGCTGAAGAGGTCGAGTACGAATTCAACCGGCAAAAATTTGAAGAGTACATCTCCTCCTCCTCCTCCAGATCTGCTCCTTCTCATAAGCGTAGGAAGATCTCCTCCTTCTAGAAGATCCGTCAGTCTCCAGATCTGAAGACCCGAGAAGTCGATCTCCCTGTCGTTGCTGTTGTAGTTGTACCCTACAACGATCCACCGGCATCCAATGTGACCAAATCTACAAATCTGAACTCTTTCGCGTTTAAGGAGCCGACTGCTGAAGGCGCGCTAACTTTATCAAAGAGAGCATGTCAAAGGAAACGCCAACGCCTCGCGCGCCAATTC